TAGTGGGGCATTATGACCACACACATTGAAATGGTGGTGGTGGGTCCTTATGACCACACACATTGAGATGGTGGTGGTGGGTCCTTATGACCACACACATTGAGATGGTGGTGATGGGGCCTTATGACCACACACATGGGAGTGGTAGTAGTGGGGCCTTATGACCACACACATTGAGATGGTGGTGGTGGGTCCTTATGACCACACACATTGAGACGGTGGTGATGGGGCCTTATGACCACACACATTGAGATGGTGGTGATGGGGCCTTATGACCACACACACGGGAGTGGTAGTAGTGGGGCCTTATGACCACACACATGGGAGTGCTGGTGGTGGGGCCTTATGACCACACACATTGAGATGGTGGTGGTGGGTCCTTATGACAACACACATTGAGATGGTAGTGATGGGGCCTTATGAACACACACATGGGAGTGGTAGTAGTGGGGCATTATGACCACACACATTGAGATGGTGGTGGTGGGTCCTTATGACCACACACATTGAGATGGTGGTGATGGGGCCTTATGACCACACACATGGGAGTGGTAGTAGTGGGGCCTTATGACCACACACATGGGAGTGCTGGTGGTGGGGCCTTATGACCACACACATTGAGATGGTGGTGGTGGGTCCTTATGACCAAACACATTGACATGGTAGTGATGGGGCCTTATGACCACACACATGGGAGTGGTAGTGGCGGCGCCTTATGATCACACACATTGAGATGGTGGTGGTGGGTCCTTATGACCACACATATATAGGTACTACATGTGGACCTCTCTCAGATTTGTTCATTTTGTAATGATATCTTTAATTTTCTAATTTTGGTGAATATTTTTGTCATTTTTGGTAAAAAGTGATATTTTCAACTTCTTGTTAAAAACCGCAAGTCCAATTGCTTTGATATTACATATATAGGTACTACATGTGGACCTCTCTCAGATTTGTTCATTTTGTAATGATATCTTTAATTCTCTAATTTTGGTGAATATTTGTGTCATTTTTGGTAAAAAGTGATATTTTCGACTTCTTGTTAAAAACCACAAGTCCAATTGCTTTGATGTTACATATGTAGGTACTACATGTGGACCACTCTCAAATTTGTTCATTTCATGATGATATCTTCAATTCTCTAATTTTGAAGAATATTTTTGTCATTTTTGGTAAAAAGTGATATTTTCTTCTTGTTATAAACCACAATCATTTATGGTGAAAAATGATATTTTTGAATTCTTGTTGAAAACAGCAAGTCCCATTGCATTGATACTATGCATATCGTTCATTTTCTAATGATATCTTCTGTTCTTTAATTGAAATGTGCATTGCTAACAGCGAAGTTTTCTCAGCCGAGAGGCTGCTTGTTTAGATTTGTTCATTTCGTGATGATATCTTCAATTCTCTAATTTTGATGAATATTTTTGTAATTTTTGGTAAAAAGTGATATTTACGACTTCTTGTTAAAAACCGCAGGTCAAATTGCTTTGATATTACATATATAGGTACTACATGTGGATCTCTCTCAGATTTGTTCATTTCGTAATGATATCTTTAATTCTCTAATTTTGGTGAATATTTTTGGTAAAAAGTGATATTTTCAACTTCTTGTTAAAAACCGCATGTCTGATTGCTTTGATATTACATATATAGGTACTACATGTGGACCTCTCTCAGATTTGTTCATTTTGTAATGAATCTTTAATTCTCTAATTTTGGTGAATATTTTTGTCATTTTTGGTAAAAAGTGATATTTTCCAATATTGTTGAAAACCGCAAGTCTGATTGCTTTGATACTATGCATATCGTTCATTTTCTAATGATATCTTCTGTTCTTTAATTGTAATGTGCATTGCTAACAGCGGAGCTATCTCAGCCGATAGGCTGCTTGTTTGATCAGTGCCTAATATCTCATATTCTTGTTTGTTTTGTACTTTTAGCAACTCAATTCAACCGATTTAAAGGCAGTATTTTTCTAGTGTTTGAATTCTGTGAACATGACTTGGCCGGATTACTCAGCAATCCCAATGTGAAATTCAATCTGGGAGAAATCAAAGAAGTTATGAAACAACTATTGAATGCTTTGTACTATATCCATGCTAACAAGGTACTGCACAGAGACATGAAAGCTGCCAATATACTCATCACTAAACGGGGAATCCTCAAACTTACAGATTTTGGACTTGCAAGGGCATTCAGTAATGCCAAGGGTGCACCTAGTAATAGATATACTAATCGTGTAGTGACATTGTGGTACAGACCACCTGAGTTGCTGCTCGGTGAAAGGAATTATGGTCCTCTTATTGATCTTTGGGGTGCAGGTTGTATTATGGCTGAGATGTGGACACGGAGTCCTATTATGCAAGGAAATACAGAACAACATCAATTGACTCTGATAACACATCTCTGTGGCTCTATTTCTACTGAAGTATGGCCTGATGTTGATAAGCTGGAGTTGTATAGCAAGTTGGAGCTTCCCAAGGGACAGAAACGCAAAGTTAAAGAGCGACTAAAAGCATACGTAAGAGACCAGTATGCACTTGATGTTATTGACAAGTTGTTGTCTCTGGATCCTGCACAAAGATTGGACAGTGATATTGCGTTGAATCACGACTTCTTTTGGACCGACCCATTTCCAACTCCACTTACTAAAATGCTATCAACCCACACTCAGTCGATGTTTGAGTATTTAGCACCACCACGTAGACGCTATCCAGGTGGAGCTCAGCCACCACCTCAAGGACAGCGACCCAGTACAGCCAGTGATGCTGCATTTGATAGAGTATTTTAACTACCTTTTTGTCAGCCAGGTATGGTGAGTTTGACAGATTTTATACAGCATTTACTACTTGGTAGTTGGTGTTGTCAATTAGCACTTGTATCTCTATTATTTTGGTGTAAAATGAAAATCTATAAATCAACACTGTACTGAAATATAGCAACAAAAATAGTCCTTGACTTATCTAGAACAGAAAAGATGGAGGTAACATTTTAAGACATTATTTTATTGTCAGCTTTTCATATGTGTGTAGTACATGTAACATTATATTGTTGCAGAACATGATTTAGATTTGCACCAATTTATCAAATTTTGAAACCAAGAATGTACTATTATGTAGTTGTTTGAAATGCTGTCGTTATCACAGTTTAATGCATCCATGTCAACGACTTAAGTTTTATTTGTTATTTGTACATGTTTGGGGTCCTGATTGTTTATTACACATAGTATTAATTAAAGAGTTTTTTAAGTGGTTTAAATGTTTCTATTTGGAGTTTACTATTCTTAAAAGTTCATATATTTTATACTGCATAGAGCAGCATATCATTTATCTAAAGTAATTTAATCCTGTAAATACTGTGTAATTTTAATCATAATCAGTCAGTCATTCTTTTATCTTGCCTTGCATGCTTTGACTGAACTTTTTACAAATACAAAAATATATTACCGGGTAGTATACATACTTATATGATCCTACATGTATGTTAATTTGTTTTGAGTTTTGATTAAATTTGAATGAAAGAAATGCCAAAACTGTTTATTTGAATGGGTTGTCACTCATTCTTGACATGCCTAGGCTGTTGAGAGACAGTTGTTGACAATTACATGTTGAATAATGCAACTTGCATTGCATTGCAAGGCTCAATCTGTATTCTGAAGACGCCCAATTTCAATATCAAAATTTCTAAAAATGCCTGATTGACATACATTGTAGTGTTCGAAATATTTTGAAGACCAGCGTTTAAAGTTGTATTATCAGTAGACTTAAGGTAGCGGGACTATTATTTGCAT